TTAACATACTTCATATTTCTTCCCATGTGAACGAGTGTCCTTGGAAGAATTATCTATTAGATAAAATTTGAAGACAAAATCTAAGTCTAGACTTATTCAAGGGGGGTGGAGACTGATTTTATAATCTATGACAGTTGTTGATTAATAAGCTGCTCATGATTGCTGTAGGCCTGTCCAAACCGCAGAAGCAAACCACACTACAGGACTGGGAGGAATGCGGTATCTGGATGCCACACCTTTGTGGAAACATACAACTCACTTTGACTTCTTGTAGCTGGTAGTGTTCCCCAGGGGTCAGTACTGGGTCCAGTCTTGTTCAATGTATTTATCAATGACCTGGATGAAGGGACAGAGCAAGCTGATGATACAAAAGTGGGAGGAGTGGCTGACACACCAGAAGGCTGTGCTGCTATTCAGCAAGATCTGGATAGGCTGGAGAGCTGGCCGGAAAGAAACCTAATGAAGTTCAACAAAGGCAAGTGTAGAGTCCTGCACCTTGGGAGGAATAAACCCATGCACCTGTACAGGTTAGGGGCTGACCAGCTGGAAAGCAGCTCTGTGGAGAAGGACCTGGGAGTCTTGGTGGACAGCAAGCTAACCATGAGGCAGCAATGTGCCCTTGTGGACAAAAAGGCCAGTGGTATCCTGGGGTGCGTTAAGAAGAGTGTGGCCAGCAGACTGAGGGAAGTTCTCCTCCCTCTCTACTGTGAGGTCCTAGTGAGGCCACATCTGGAGCACTGTGTCCAGCTCTGGGCTTCTCAGTTCAAGACAGACCAGGAACTACTGGAAGGAGCCCTACGGAAGATTACAAAGATTAAGGGACTGGAGCATCTCTCTTATGAGGAGAGGCTGAGAGAGCTGGGACTGTTTATCCTGGAGAAGACTGAGAGGAGATCTTATCAATGTTTAAAAATACCTCAACCAAAGGGTGGGTGTCAAGAAGACAGGGACAGACACTTTTCAGTGGTGGCCAGCGATAAGACAAGGGGTAACAGGCACAAGCTGGAACACAGGAGGTTCCACTTAAACATGAGGAAAAACTTCTTTACCGTGAGGGTGCCAGAGCACTGGAACAGGCTGCCCAGAGAGGTTGTGGAGTCTCCATCTCTGGAGACACCTGGATGCTTTCCTGTGCAACCTTTTGTAGGGAACCTGCTTTGGCAGGGGAGTTGGACTAGATGATCTCCAGAGGTCCCTTCCAAACCCCTACCATTCTGAGATTCTGATACATTTACTCTAGGCTTGAACTACCAGATGAGCACCACCAGATACATGATAATATACATGCATCTCCTTGCTACTTGACTGCTGCTTCAGCAGCAGAATCCCGGTGATACAGAACTTCCACCCACACTGTAAGTATAGCCGCTTGTAGCAGTCACGGTATGTGCTGTGTGGGGTTCAAGGTTTTTGCTGGTAGTGCTCTTGCAAAAAGAAATCTACTCTTCCTGGAATAAAATAGCACTATCACATCCTGAGGGGCTTTGGTCTCGTCTGACAGTCTGAAGAACTTTATTTGTATGTACAGATATGCATAGGCACATACACAAACATATGTTTGCACATGACAAGTCAATATACAAACATATAATGCATAATGAATACCTTGCATAAACACAGTACTGCATAAACCTCTGTTCCAAGGTTGAAACTGAACAAGATTTAAATCTGTAATAAAAAAAAGTATGTTACCTAATCTTCAGTGATAACACGATCATTTCTGATTACATCTTTCAAAAACCTTTTAGGAAAATTTTTAAAACTTTCCTAGCTTGGCTTATAAAGTATCAAAGATCTTAAAGTGAAAACAACCCATACAAATTCTTAAAAGTGTTCCCTGCACCTTGGAGTCTGAACTCCAGACTCAGACTAAACAAAAGCCAACACACACACACACACACAAAAAAAAAAGGCACAAACAGAAAAACTAGTCTTTGTAATCCCTGAAAGCCCTCAAAATACACAAGAGGAATTTTATTACCTTTAGCTGGACACATCTCTTCTTTTGGTTTATCTGTTTGCAATTATTCTCCTTTTTCTTACTTTTGGAGATAGTTGTCTTTCTAAAAGTGTGCAGAAAAATAACATCTTAAAATAACCACATCATCATGATCATTTACAGTTGGACTAGATGATCATAATGGTCTTTTCCAACCAAACTATTCTATGATTCTATGATTATCAGACCTTGAGTACACTGACTGTATGGGCCTCAGTAGACAATGAAGGCCTATGGCTTTTCAGCAATGTCACTAGGTGCAAGAACAAGACTAAAACCCCACAAATGAGACATTAAAACACATCTTGTTCAATGTACAACACAGAAAATACCAATGGCTTTCAATATTTTTTTTTCAATAGTTAATAAATCCTTTCTCTAATCTCAGTAGACACCTTTTCAGGGATTTTCTTGCATGGAAAAGCAATGAAACAAAAACTAAGCTGGTGATAAATTAAGATGTTTCAATTACACTTTTCACTTTGCATCTATGAGTTGGTTTCATTACGTGAAGTGACACTAGTACCAAACCCACTGCCTTACTCCCTAAGTCTTCTGAAATCAGATTCCAAGTAGCATGATATACTGCCCTCTCCTGTGTTGGGGCGACCCATTATTTTTTTGTTCTGTTCAACAAATCTGATAACGGATAAATGTATCAAAGAGCAATGACTGAGGAAAATATGAAACAGCTGCAAAAGATATATTCTGTTGTTTACTCTTCTGAATGCAGCTGGTTAAAAGCAGTTCTAGAAAATCATTGATATGAACCTTGGTGTAGGACTATGAGTAATTGCACGTAGACTGACAGTTTTTCAACAACAATTTGGCACAAACAGCTCTGCAAATCTCATAGAAATGCTCCATAGAACAACATCCCGAGTGCTCTTAACTGTATCGTTACACAACCTTAGAATAAACAAACCATCATATTTCTTCATAGCAGGTGACATACTCAAAAGCACTGAACTGACTTAAGCCATTGAGACAATTCTGAAAACTTTCTCCAGAAGTTTAGTAGAACTAGTAAGAATGTGAGTTACTTCAATAATACTCAAAGGAAAACACAAATGCTTTCATACATTAAAGGCTAAAACGATACACGTTATATAAAGTCACACATTAATTTCTGCATGAAACTGAGGATTTCTAGGCAATTTAATAAGTTGAACTTGCACTTACACCACTGAGAAGGAATTGGCTGAAGGTAACAGACCTACCTGTATTACAAGTTTTCAATATCCAACTCAGCGGAGAAGTGCAGAAGAACTCACTATCCACTTGAGCTCAGCAGGAGCAGGAGAAAAAGCTACTTATGCCTAGGGACCATGACATAACCTTTAATGAAACCAGTGGGGACCAGGGCTCACTCACCCATGAGGTACTGGCCAGAAAAACATGCCTTTACCAGGAACTGAAAGAGCAGAGCCTAAGCACTTGAAGCAGGATTTGCCAGACCACAACTTTTGTAAGGAAAAGTCAGCCTTTGTAAGAGCATTTCTGTTACAAATCACCCTCTTGTGGAAGCAGAATTCTAATACTGCTATTAATCACAAGCACTGCAGCCATTGTAACACATCACTTAATAACAGAGACAGTGAGCAATTAACACATCTTTTGTGAAAATATTGCTCCTTTTCAACATCGCTAGGAAGTACCTTTAAAAACTATCCTACTGGTACTCACTTTGTAATAATATTCAAACTGTTGACTTCAAAGAAGGGACTCAAATTGCTATGACAGTATCTTCTCCCGAGAAAAAGAATGGAGACTACTGTGACAGCAAAATTATTTTCTGAGATCAAAACTACTAGATAAAGGCACAAATCTACATAGTCTTATGCCACAGTATTTAAAGTTATTAGATTTTTTAAAATAGACATTAACAAAAGCTACTTAATCACTGCTTGTTAGAAAAACAGACAGCTCAATAACCAGACTGTATATCAAAGTTATGAAACAGAAACCCATCAGCATAGACTTCATATTTTTTTCTCCTATTAACATAATTATTTCCTACTCAGTAAAAATGAAAATGACATGTTAGTATTTCAAAAACATGAGAAAATGACCCTCTAGGCTTTATATGACTATCAAAACAAGCACCAGTACTTTATTTGCAAATTATTGTGCATGAAATGATCGACTCAGCAAGTTTACCAGTCAACAAAGTGTGTGCTCTACCAGTTATAATCAATTTACATGTAATGATATGTCTAAATATGAATTTAAATGAGTTCTTGTCATTTCATGTTGATCAGCTGCTTTATCATCATAGATATGGATGGCGACCACAGTTAATGTTGCAGAAACAGCAGAGCATGCACAAGTTCTGTGAGTCAGTGGTATCCAAACATGAATAAATTTGTTTTCATATAAAAAGACAGCCTCTGACTGCTAAGACATGTTTATTTTCCAGTCAAGTTAACAAAAATACTTTCTAAGAGGTTATTTCCAGGCATTTGCTGTATGTGCCATGTCCACAGCAAATATACAGTATAAATCACAACAGTTTTTTCACTTCACAACCTACTGGATTTCTCTTTCAGTGTATGAAAAGAATCCTGAGGTTGTCACAGAATAAAGAACATTTCAGTATCATCCCCATTGTATATAAATATACATTATAAAGACCTGCTAAAGGAATATTCTGGATATTAAGAGAATTCCATATTCTTTAACAGCACATTAGTCTCATCCCCGCACAATGATCCTTAATACAATTATAAAAAGTCTAAAATAACTGCAGTAAGTGAAATAAAGTTCCTTTACAGCAGACAGTGCTGATCAGGTGACATGTTGGAAGAATGCAAGACAAAGCCAGGTTTAACATACAAGAATGCATAATTAAAGGCTGGCCTCAAAAATGTCTTCATTTCATACAATTAAATGAATAAAATGGCAATGAATTCATGAAAAGAATGCTAAAAAGTGCTAAAACTAATTTCATTTTACTTAGAATGGTGTAAGTCAGATAAATAAAGCTTAACATTTTCCAAGCAATAATCCTTTTCATTTCCCTTAGCTTTATTAATAATGTACATATTCAGGTAGAATACTCAAATATAATTTTTACTGATATATAGAATCATTTTAATGCATATTTGGTACAATTTCTTATTTTTGGCGTTCAGTAGTTGCTCTTGTTTTGATAAAATGATACAGTAGATGTATAGTTAACATCACATACAGGTTTTGTCTATATAAAGAATTTACAGAGCTTTTTCAATTGTGGAATGGTACGTTTCACACATACGAAATTTTAAAAATGCTGCATGAACGTGTGACCTTGCCAATACACAGATCAACCTTCAGAAACTATAATGAGCATGAGTTGGCACACATTTCTATCTGGGCCCAGTACAAGTATGGACACATTCAAAATGTTGTAACATCAGTATGATTTGCTTTTACTTTGGTGATTGTGATATTCCAGGTGCAGATGCAAACTGCACCTTAATGGTCCTCATAGTAGTACTTTTATCCCACTGTATTTTAAAGGCATCAGCTTCTTCTATTCTCCCTTGTAGCAAGGGGGTCTCTTCTCTTTAAATGCAAGAAGACCTTCAATTCTATCTTTTGTTGGAATAGTCTGCAATGAGCAGAGTAACAATTCATTATTGACACCAAAAAGAATATAAATAAAAATACTTTCATACAAATCCTAGTTCTTCAATGCATCCAACATGCAACATATAATACAACAGAAAAATTAAAATTAAAATATCTAGTCAGACACAGGAAAGTACCAGACACTTCAAAGGCATAATATAAGGTTGAGAAACAATTTGGGAGAAGAAGGAATATCTTTTCTCCAAACAGATGACTGTGAGAAACTCTTTAGGGTTTATTTTTGAGGTTTTGCTGTGGTTTTCATTTGTGTTTTTTGTTTTGTTTGGGGTTTTCTGTGATGGGACGGGGGTAGGTTACTAATCAAATCACTGTATGTTTTAAATAAGCATCTAATGCTGACGCTTTTACTTCCGTGATCAAAAACTTGTCTCGAAGTCCAAGAACATACAAATTCAAATACCTCATTCCCATGTTTCGCCAGCAAAGAGGTTTGTCTCAATTTTCTTTTGGTTAGCACACACACCATTAGTGGGACATGCTAGTGAAGTGCACTTCGTGTTATTTCATGTTAAACCAAATCAAAGCAAAAGCAAGGCAGTTCTTAGACCAGATGCACGGCCATGTATGACTGGCTAGGTATATATAGCTGGTAGTGCTTCACTATCTTCACCCTAATAGTCTCGGCAGGGAGATAGCTTGTCCTAAACTACACCTCTTTCCTTAAATTCCTTACAAAAACAAAGTAAGTAGAAGGAAGGTCTAAATACAATGCCAAAATACCTGTAGAAGCAATCACTGAGCAATTTCTAGTTGAATTTCTGCATGTTTCGTAACAGGCACCAAAAAAGCCTGTTTTCTGTGTTTTTTCATATAATCATAGTCACATACCTGAGCGTAACAAGCTTCTTCAATTGCTAAACCTGTTACTAAGTCGACCTGAGGAAAATAATACAATGTTTTATAAAAGCATATTTTAGTATATGTATTATATATTATTTCCTGACAGCTAGCTTAAATACTGTGTTTCTACATGCCACATACTAAAACACTTCTGATAAGTTCTTCTACGCTACTTTAACATAGAAATACTACACTGCCATGGGGCCAGAGCGGTTAGTATTTCTGCAACAGTTTCCTTACTTGGCAATACAACTAGTATGTAATACACTGTCAAAACAATGTATGTTCTTCACTACAAATCATCTGGACTACAAACCATTAGCTACTTGAACATTTGTAATAATTTCATTTACTACAGAGGAAAAGATTTAATCTACTGCACGATTATTTTAAAATTGTTCTGAAACCAGTTATTTTCAAAGTCTCATATAAGAACATAATGCCATGCCACAAAATAAACATAAATTCAAGCTTAAAGAGATTTAAAATAAAAAAGAGGTCAATGGGCATCCTGCATCAACATCTAGTTTTAATAACATTTTTTTCTTTGTGAGCTGGTCTGACAGCTGAAAAGGCTGGATTTTCCTCTCACTACTCCTCTGCATCAGCTGCTGCAGGACTTAACAGCTCTCCATATGGCCACTGAAAGGACTCTGGCTATGCATCACAAGCAATTTGTCTAGGGAAGATAAGCTATAGGATAGATTACCAAAGGAAGCCATGAAATCTCTGCCATGGAAGGTTTGTAACAAGAGCTTGAATTAACATTTGGCTTGATTGGTTTGGATGTAGTAGATTTTGTCTTGAGGCCTCAGGATTTAACTAGATGGCTATTCCGTAGTCCTTCTAACCCTGTTGTCTTTAATTCTATAAATGTAATGGATTTGACCTTTCAGTTCACGACACCTGGTAGCAAGATAATTTAGTTGTAGAATTTTGAACCCTGAGTACCACTGAAATAACTCTTGAATTCCATCACTACTTGTTGAGGAAACCTAACTTACTGGTAGTATGCTTTGCTGAACTCAATTATATCACTGATTGCTTTTGTGACTTTAAGAAAAAAAGGACCATTCTTAAATTCATCTTCTTGGATTCAGACGTTGCATGCAGTGTGATCCCCTTTCTCTTGTCCCAGGTTGAGCTATGAAGTGTCCTGGTGCAGAGCTTCTGCATTTGCTTAACTTTATGAATAGTCCTGCTGAGTTCAGCAAGATGATTCACAAGCCTAAAGTAAAACACGTGTTCACAGCTGGATTTTAACGAGTTCTAGAGCTAAGTCAATAGTGTTCAAGAAGTAGTGGCAATCAGAATCAAATATGAAATCAGACTCCAGATATAATTTTAACACTAACCTCTATTAAACTATTAAAGTAAATAACATGCCTTTTGGCATTTATTAGTTACTAAACACTGAGAGCACTGACAGACTTGACAAGAGTATGACTTCTGAGGTTTTTCTCTGCCCTGCATTTGAAATACAACTTGTTCACGGTAGTTCATGTTTACTTTCTAGTATTAATAATTAGCAGAGTGTATTACTCCTGGACAGACGTAAGGTTACTAAGTCTCATTACAGAAATCAGCATCAATTCTAGTCTCAGGAGTCTGAGACATAAAGAAATCACATATTTTGAAAGACTATACACTGAGAACTAAAAACAGTTCTAGAAAAAAAGTCACCACAATAGACCTGTTTCTAGCCTGATTTCTGCTTACTCTTATGGAAAGTACAGATCCTTACCTCCATTCCCTGATTGATGGCCAGTTTTGCAACTCTCATTGCTACTGGTCCCTACAATGAAACAAAAAGCTTATTTACATATAATCAAAATCTACAAGATCAAGCAGTGAACAGTCTTGCACATCACTGATCTTGTATTGGGACCTTCTAGATTTTGGACCTCTATTAAATTTATAGTAAATAGGTCAAATAGCCAAAATTACATCATTGTACCAGGTATTTCCTTCCAAACTGAGAGTTTCAATATCAAGAAAAAGTGGAATTATACTGTTTTCAAAATAACCTAATTAAAGGAGTGTGTTTGATTTATGTTTCAAAGGTGCTGAGCATGTCCACTTTTATCAAACTTGCTCAGTTCCCTTCAAAACAAGGCTCAGAAGGCACTTTAAGAGAAATCATTATAGGCCTTTGGAAGGTCAATCTTATGTCCCTATTGTCACATAATGGAGACATGAAAAGATGTGATAATGAAATTAAATTAACTGCTGCAGCTTCAACCTAAAATATGCTGCTGCAAAGCCTGCACTGGTCAAGTGATGATACTCTTCTGTGAGTGACTGAGGTGCCCAGCAAGCAGAGGGGTTTCCACCCTTCTCCTCCAGTATGCTGCAGAACAGTGAGACATCTTCAGGAATCATCTCAGTCCTATGCCTACTCATCACCATCAGCTTCTGAATGTTCAGACACTGCTTTATACAAGTGGCCTGCTGCTTTGGGAAAAGCTAAATGCTTTTGAGTTGGTTCCAATGTAACGTTATGACTATAAATCCACTCCAGAATGACTGTATGTTAAATTTTTTACTGTATTTTTCATGCTTGTCTTTCTATGAGAGAGCTCACGACACAAACAACTGTTAAATGCCATATTTAATCTGTAACATTTTCCATTTTCAATGAAAAATTTTAGCTGTTACATTTCTGATTGAATAAAGTGGTTTACTAATTATTTTCTTCTTCTGCCTCCTATGAATTTGCAACCTGGGACCCTCCACCTGAAAAGTATGTTTATCGAAAGCTCCATGCTCACATTCCTACTCTGAACAGCTTGCAGTCTATGGCAACAGGGGAACAGGTGCAATCATCTAACACAAAGACTCCTGTCAAGGTCATACTTAAAACTTCTTACTAAAATATTCCAGTCCTAAAGCATAGGAATTCAGCAAATCCCATTTCAATTCTTTTATGAAAGACAGAGATAGGATGTCACTTAGCATGAACGATAATAACAGCATGATTCTTTTAGCTTACACACAAAGGATAGAAAGCAAACTTTCCACTAGTAAACGGGTTTTGCTTTAATACTAAAATTACCTTTATGTTTTCAAAATAGGAGTTACATGTAGACATGTTCACTTTCATATGGACCTTTTTGTCTCTCTTCTTAAGTGTTCAACAGCAACAGAATAACCTACCGAGATAACTGCTTTACTAAAAAAAAACCCCTTACATTATTTTTTGTTTAAAACTTGAAAGCCAAAATACACAATACAAACACAGACTCTATCATGATTATACAAGGACTGACAGAGTTTTTTTGCTTCGCTATGAAATAATTACCATATAACACCACTCAATACACAAGAAAGAAAACTTCTGATTGCACTCCATATAACTAGAATGGCTTTTTAATACATAACTTCATGACAGTTTTTCTTAGCATATTAAGTTATTTTTCAGTTTTAATGTTTGGTAAAAACTAAAATCAAAATAATTTGCTTTACCTGAGGTAAAAATTCTCTTGCCAGAGCTAATGCTCTTCTGTATGCAGCATCCCCTGCTTCATTTTGTTCTACCACATGGCTAATCAATCCTATTGATTTTGCTTCCTCACCATCTACAACACGTGCAGAGAAGATTAGTTCTTTTGCCAAAGACACTCCAATTGTGCGAGGTAATCTCTGTGTCCCCCCTGAAGTTTGGAAAAAGAGAAAGTGCAAGTATTAGTTTCCTATCCACTCATACTACAAATGTAGATGCCTTGCTCAGTTCAATTATTTTCATTTTTAATTCCATAAACAATTATATGAACATACACAAATTAACCTATCATACAAAGGCATTCCTAAATGCCTTCTTCAGTTTTGAAACTACATCTAAAATGAAATAAATTGCTCTGATTCTTAGAAAGACCTGTAAATAACTGAGAAGAGGTAAGGTGATATTAATAAAGATTCTTTTTGATTACAGACAAGTTACCTTATTCATATCACCCAAAAGCTGAAGGAAAAATACTTGCCAGTAATTACCATATCCAAAAACTCTGTTTCCTTCCAACAATCTGTGTATTTTTATGAGATTAGTATGAACAGTTTGGAAGAACTATACTAAAAAAGAATATATACTATAACAAGACTGCAGTCCATGCTAAAATTTGCATGTTAGGGATGATAAAAATTTATATGTAAACTAAACTAAAAACACTAGACAAGGTTTTTAAAAAGCCATTGTTTTGTCCCTCTAATACTTCCATAGTATTGTTGAAATTGCAAAGCCTGATTACAAAAACTAGGGGAGGACACTGGCAGGTGTGGATAAGCAGAGAAAGGCACCTAACTTTAGTTAGCTCTTCTTACTATGTTAAATACGTCTTTGTCAGATCAGCATTTTCAGAAGGTCAATAAGCAGTAACTACATTAACCAGACATGCAAAGATTGCTTAGTTGAACTAACAATTAACTTTCCAGAACTGACAAACAACGAGAATGTGGGAATAATCATTACCAAAACTGAAGAAGTACACTCAAATCACAGAAGCAGATGTTTGTATGAATTAAAATAGTGGAAATGGCCTTTATCCAGGAGAAAGGATCTTGAAAATATACAAGGTCTACCATTTTGACATGGAATTGAAACAAATATTCAATTCATATAGACAGTCTGTAAGTAAAAAATTATTTCCAAATAGCTAGTTCTGATAGAGCATGCTAATATATTCAAATATAAATATATGTATATATGCAAGAGGAATATTTATAGGAAGTGATCAAAGGGACGTGGTACAACACTGGGAAAATGTGTGTTTGACTAATATAAAACAGATTAATTTCCAATAGATAATGGCAGACTAAACTAGTATTTTATTGAAGCCATTCAATTCTCTTACTGATGTTTCCTGAAGAGACTTTAAATATATCTCTGAGACAAATAAAATGACTGGAAACAAAGAAAAATTTTTTTGTGATTCCATGATTCAGCTTTCAACTATTGTTTTTTATGAATCACAAGCTTCAGTATTACTGTATTCCTTTCATAAAAACAGACCTGCCTTTGAACACATTACATCATACAAAAATGCAGAAGGCTTGGGGGATTTCTGCCTGTGCCTTTCTAGAATATTACAAAATCATGATCTATAACAAGAAACTGAGCTATAGTTTCTGGGCTGAAACTGGAGGAATTAAAAAAATGCTTACACTTAGCAGTTAAAATTCTTTAGTAAATATAAATAATGTTATATTCTCTATGGTCCTACCATTCTAAGAGGGTTTTAGCAAGACTGTCCTAACGGTCAAGTGCAACATGTAACAGCAAAAGGAACTCTTGTTCAATAAATTCTGCTAATTCTGCTAGTTGTACAGCTAAGCCAGTTGTAATGCAAGGGGGGAACTTTTGCTGACAGTATAATTTATGAAAAGCCCCTACTCCAGGGTGAAAGGGGCGGGGG